GACGTATTGCATTAGGCATATCTGCTTCACAAAACCTTTTTAATGTGTTGAAGAGCAAAGATGTCAGCTTGAAGACTAAGGTGCACCTGACCCAAGCTATGGTATTTTCAATAACCTCATATGCATGCGAAAGCTGGACAGTGAATAAGGAAGACTGTAGAAGAATTGATGCTTTTGTGTTTATGGTGTTGGAGGAGAATATCGAAAGTGCCATGGGATGCCAAAAGAACCAACAGATCTGTGTTGGAAGAAGTGCAGCCAGAGTGTTCCTTGGAGGCCAGGCTGGCCAAACTTTGTATCTCATACTTCAGACATATTGTCAGGAGGGACCAGTCACTGGAGAAGGATATCATGTTTGGTAAGGTGGTGGGTCAGAGAAAAAGAGGAAGACCCTCCCATGAGATAGACTGACAAAGTGACAGCATCAATGGGCTCAAGCATGGCAACGATAGTGGGGTTGGCCCAGGATCAGGCAGTGTTTCATTCTGCTGTGCATAAGGTCACTATGAGTCGGTACCAATTCGATGGCACCTAACAGCACAACACAACAGCCACCCTACCTCAGGCTCCTGGGGTCGCTCTGTGCATCAGTGCTGGACTGTGAACCACAAGGTTGGTGGTTCAACCCACCAGTGACTCTGGTGAAACCCTATACAGGGCTACTAGGAGTTGGAACCGACTCGATGGCACTTAACAACAACAACAACCGTCCTGCCTCATCAATATCATAGAGGTCAGGATCACATCACACAGGATAATGGCAACTGATCACAAAATGGAGAACGACAACATATCACTGAGAATCATGACCTGCTCACGTTGACATACTCATCTCTAGGGGAGATAGAATTTCATCTATAACAATTTGCCTGTGCAATTTCCATATAAGGAGGTACAGTCTGCTGCAAAGAAGCATTCCGTTCAGGGGACACAGTAGCTCAGACTGGATTACAATATCCTTCAAACTCCCCTCTTTGGGGATCAGAGATTTATCAGTCAGCTTCCACTCCCTCTTCAATAAATAAATGCTGAGGCTCCTCTAGAAATGGCCCTATGCTGGTCTGGGAACACAGCAGTGAACATGACAGGTGTGTTTCTCCTGAGCTGGAAACTGTGATCTGAAAAACTTCATGTTTTCATTTCTTGGATTTCTCACTAACATTTTTCATTCTCCAAAAGTCCAAAAGTCGTGGGGAAGCCCACATCTTCAAGTCACTCTTTGTTCTTGTTCTGTGATGAGCATCAGGCTGCCTTTCTTCTTTCAAGGAAGATTCAGTATTCTAAAAGAGCAAAATGGCCAGATGATGGTGAAATACTAACATTCAAGACAGTCTTAGAGCAGATAGTGCCAAAGGTTAATCCCATCCAAGAGGAATTGATTCATTAATAAAAATGTTGACACCCCCCCCACCCAAAAGGATAATAAAAACAAAACAAAACCCCACATCTCTTTAAAGAGGGTATTTCATCCTTAATTTAAAAATAAGTGTCCTCATTCAAATTTAAGACTTCATAAGGTCAGGCAGGTTCAGTCAGTGATTCTTCTGATGTCTTCCTCCACTGCAGACCCTTCAGCAGGGCTCTTCTGTGAAGAAGCTTTTGCTCACAACACTGTCGCACAGCTGGTCCAGGCACCACAGCATTAGTATACCCTCAAGATCATGTCGTTTTGTTGGAGGGTCTGGAGACACTAAACTGAGTCCTAAGAAAGTGGATCAGCTTGGACTCTGTGAAGAATGCCACTCTGAGAGTCACTCCCAAACAGAAGGTCCCCACAGCAATGTGTGCCAGCTTGGCTGGCCAGCCCTGTTCACAGCAGAGATATACCTAAGGGAAGAAACCATCATCATTGCCAAGGTCTCTAGCTGTGTCCTAAGGAATGCAGAATCCTACTGAACGAGTTTCCAATTCAGATAAAAGGCATAATAGCTGCATACTGAGAGTCTAGATTTAGGGGATTGGAAAGAAAGAGGCAAACGGTTCAAGTAGATAAGGAAGAGGAAGGCTAGAGGCAGGGATAGTGGACAGCCTACAAATGCATGTGGTGTGAGGGCTGCAGGGAGTGTCACCTCTGATATACCAGTAATCCCACCACTGCAGGGATAGTGGACAGACTACAAATGCATGTGGTGTGAGGGCTGCAGGGAGTCTCACCTCTGATATACCAGTAATCCCACCACTGCAGGGATAGTGGACAGACTACAAATGCTTGTGGTGTGA